TATCATCCATGTATGCCTCCACATTCCGACTGATTTGAGTGAGCAAACACTTCTGAATCATCCTCATGAACGTGGCTCCGACATTCTTGAGGCCGAATGGCATGGTGACATAATAGAAGCACCCGAATGGAGTGATGAAAGCTGTTTTGATCTCATCGGGCCCGTACAGACGGATCTAATGGTACCCGGAATAGGCGTCTAGGAAAGACAAATGCTCACATCCCGCAGTCGAGTCGACTATCTGGTTGATGCGGGGGAGAGGAAAATGATCTTTCGGGCAGGCCCGATTGATATGCTTGAAATCAATGCACATGCGAAGTGACTTGTCCTTCTTGGGGACCATGACAACATTGGCGAGCCACTCGGAGTGGTAAATTTCTCGGATGAACTCCGCTGCTAAGAGCCGAGCCACCTCCTCGCCAATGGCCTTCCTCTTCTGGATGGCGGACCGTCGAAGATGTTCTTTCACAGGTTTAAATTTTGGGTCGACTCGTAGACGGTGCTCAGCCAGCCCCCTGGGAACTCCAGGCATGTCAGCAGGCTTCCATGCGAAGATGTCCCAGTTCTCATGGAGGAACTGGATGATCGCTTCTTCCTATTTGGAGTCGACCGTCGTTGAGATGTGAGTCGAAGCAGCGTTTGGATCGGTCGGGTGAATGTGAACTGCCTTCATTTCACCGGACGACTGAAAAGTTGATTCTGAAGCAGGCTTCTTAGCTCGTAGCAACTCACTCGGATCTGCAGTCTTCTGATACTCTTGCAGCTCGACCACCGCCATCTGAGCGTCAGCAATCTTTGAGCCTTTCTAAAAACACTCTTCTGCTTTCTTCCGATTGCCTGTAACAATGATCACACCTTTGGGACCAGGCATCTTCAATTTGAGATACACATAACATGGTCGAGCCATGAAGCGTGCATAAGCTGGCCTGCCCAAAATAGCGTGATAAGCACTTTGGAAATCCACAACTTCAAATGTTAACTTTTCCTTGCGGTAATTCTTGGAATCACCGAAAACCACATCAAGAGCAATTTGGCCGAGTGACTCGGCTTTCTTCCCAGGAATGACTCCATGGAAACTCATGTTACTGGTGCTGAGCCTGGACATCGGAATGCCCATCCCTTTCAATGTTTCTGCATACAGTATGTTCAAACCGCTGCCTCCATCCATCAGGACTTTGGTCAGTCGAGTGCCTTCGACAACTGGGTCGACCACCAGAGCTTGCCTCCCAGGGGTGGCAATGTGCGTAGGGTGATCAGACTGGTCGAATGTGATGGCAGTCTGGGACCACTTCAGATAATTGGGTGTTGCCGGAGCAACCATATTTACCTCACGGTTAATAACCTTAAGTCGACTTTTGCTCTCAACATCAGCAAAAATCATCAGGGTGGAATTGACCTGGGGGTACCCATCGTCACTATCTTCCTTGTCCTCAACTTTGTCCGACTCCTTTTCCTTATCTTTGGACTGCTTGCCCTGAAACTGCTGGATCAGGAGCCGACAGTGTCGAGTGGTATGCTTTGGGTAAATGAGTTTACCCTCTTCATCTTTCTTGGTGTGGATGTGACACGGTAGATCCAAAACATCATTTCCATCTTGGTCTTTGACTTTCTTGGGGTTCCAATGTCCTTTGGGTTTTCCCTTAAATTTTCCCTGGGTTACGGCCAGGGCCTCCCCAGGAGCGACTGGCTCGGCTTTCCGCTTCTGTTTCCGACTGGAATTTACTCCGGTTTCCTGGGCGACTGCTTTATGCTTGCCACTCCGGAGTCGATCCTCATCTTCACCATTAGCGTATTTGGTGGCAATCTCCATCATCCGATTCAGAGACATCTCTCCGGTTCGACCAAACTTCAGATTCAATTCTCTGTACTTAACGCCTTCTTTAAAGGCACACACTGCTTGATGATCTGGTACATTTTCAACTGTGTGATGCAATGTGATCCACCTCTGGATGTAATCCCTTAGAGTTTCATTCGGTTTCTGCACGCAAGACCGCAATTCCGTAAGGCCTGCAGGTCGCTTGCATGTTCCTTCAAATGTGGTGACAAACACTCGGGAGAGATCCTCCCAAGTGTAAATGCTGCTGGGTGCTAACTGATTCAGCCACGCTCTGGCCGAGCCTTCTAACATGAGAGGCAGGTGCTTCATGGCTACCTCATCGTTCCCACCGCCAATCTGGACAGCCACTCGGTAATCTTCGAGCCAAGTATCGGGCTTGGACTCACTGGTGAACTTACTAACTCCAGTCACCAACCTGAAGTTGGGAGGAATTACAGCGGCTCTGATGGCTCGACTGAAACACTTCGTCCCTGAAACATGTACTCTGCTACTGGTAGGCGCATCTCTGTCGTGGCCTTCTCGGTGAGCTCTATTCCTGTCGACCAAACCTTGAACGAGAATGGATCTCGCATCAAAGCCTGGTTCCCTGGGGTCGACTGGAATTCTCCGCCCAACACTATGAGGGCGTCTGTCGACCTGCTGTCGAGGCACATATGATCCACTCCTCGGGGGAGGGGTTGGCACTCGACGTCGATCATCACGATCGAATCGGTGATCATACTGCTCGTTCCTTCTGTACCGATCACGCCGGTCTCCACGTCCCTCACGCCTCGGAGACGATCTTGGGCTGTGAGCTGACTGGACTGTATTCGCTGCAACGGATCGACTGTGGACCATGTTCCGCGACTGAGAAACGGCGGAATTCTGGTCTCCCGCTGCCCGGAGCAACACTCTGATTTGCAACAAGCCTCTGCCAGCCTCTGACTGGGAGGGCTGAATCGACTCTGCTATACGGGCTGCAGCCGCCAAATTCTGAATCGGAGTACGATATACCTGCGGGGCGGAAAGAGTTGACGTCGACTGGATTCTGGAGCCAATTGACGCGCTCGCTCGTCGAGTATTCGCTGGAGATTCTCCAGTCGAGTGCGCTCGGCCAAGTTAGCCAAGCGCGCGTCCTCCAAGGCTCGGGCCTCGGGGGTTTCTCCAAAGATAGGAGTGTGGAGTGCATCCATGTTCCGGCGGCGAAGCTCCTCCCGCTGCAACGACGTGAGAGGCTCGAGGAGATACTCCTCGTGAGGACGCGATGGGTCGCCCCCATCCGCGCCTCCGTCAGCGCGGGGGAAACCGGGAGGACTGTGTGGCCCATCGATCACCAGAACCTCTGCAGCTAGGTCACTATTGTCGCATTCGGATGCGGTCTCTCCGGAGCCAGTCGAACAGGCCATAGAGGGATTCGTCGGGCTCGATTGCCGCGACTTGTGGGGTGGCCGACTGGCGGGCCACCGCATGCCTCACCCACCTCTGAAGCCTCGACCGACCGGAGCGCTTGCGCCGGCGAGAAACAGGGCGGGGAGATGCCACGGGAGCCGACCGATACTGGGTCGACGGCTGCCGCAGGAGGACACCACGGACGCATGCGCGAAAGTGCGTCGCCCCACGGACGGGGAGCGCGTCGACGTCGAGTGGAGCCTCCTGAAGCCAAGCGGAGTCGTCGACGATGAACGTGAGCGCGCCAAGGCGGTTCTCGCGGCCCTGCACCAAAGCTCCGCCCGAAACCATGATCAAGGAGATCGGAAAAAATCGCAACTTCTCAAACTAGGCGCTAAGACTCCTAGCCCCACGGTGGGCGCCAACTGTCGTGGTTCTAACTCTGACAGTGATGTAGGGGGTATGTATGGAGAGGCTAGATCTTAGCTATGGAGGAGTTGTAAGCACACGAGGATTACGAGTTCGGGCCCTTCTCGGAGTAAGTAACAGCCCTACGTCTCGGTGCCCGGAGGCGGTCGACTGAATTATGTGTGTATGAATAAAGGGGTGCCAACCTTGATACTGAGGAGGGGGGTGGCTTATATAGAGTTCGACAGGCCCCTCCAGCCCTCAGTAATGCAAGGTTTAAAGTACATTAAGATTGGGGGTTACTGGTAACGCCCCTAATAAAGTGCTATGATGACCATAAAAGCTACTTAATGACCGACCGTTTGTGTGCAGGGTGACTTTAGATCTCCTGGCGGTCGAGTGATTGCTTCGTGGTCGAGTGTATCTGTCGAGTGGAATACCTCCAAGTTGATTGAAAGGTGACTTCTTCTAGGGATGTCCTTGGGTAGGGTACTTAGGACAGTTCCATACCCCTATCCTAGGTACATAGCTTCATCACCACCCGGAGGACGTCGCCTACGAGCAGGTCTACTGGGCAAGACGCTGCGAGGAGGACACGCGAAGGCGCCGCGGGGAGCGGTTGGACAGGCGTCGGCGGAAGGCGTTGACGAATGCGCAGTCCGATCTCGTTGCAGCAGGTGGGCAGTCGTTCTTCACGCCGGACGATGATCGGTGGCTGGACATCTGGCTAGATACCTCGGACGACACCGCCGAGGATGATAATGGTGATGATGATAGCGACTTAGAGTAGTTTTTTTATGCAATCTATCTCGTTTTTTTATCGTTTGTCGTTTTTATTATTATGCAATTTATGTTTCCCATGTAAAATACCTTTGTATCGTTTAAAATCTATGCAATCTATCTAGTTTTTATGCTTCCAATGCCTACATTTCTAGTTTGTAGAATGAGAGCGCTGTATTTTTTGCGCGCTGCTGGAGCGGCGCGCGTTGCATTTTAGCGCGGCTGCTGGAGCGGTCGTTGTGCGCCGCGCCAAACCAAACAATGGGCACGCGCTAAAGCTGTTTTTTGCGCGCGCCGCGTTCGGCGCCTGTTGGAGATGCTCTTAGATTCAGCTCCCTGCACCGCAGTGCTGAAATTCCCATTTTAGCAAACTGAACATACCTTGACAATATCATCTCTCCATAATAAAGTACACAGAAAAGATTCAATACAGATTTAAAACAAAGAATGAACCAGTAAAATACATTCTCGTAGGAAAAAAGAAACAGCACCGGTAACTTAGCTAGCACACACAAAAGCACGAGCTTATTCTGATTACTCTCCGTTGTGAGGAGTCAATAACTCAAGATAAGGCACGCCATATCCTGATCAGCCGTTCGTGAGCTGGTTAATTCACAAACCGGCAGTGCTTTCTGATCTGCCCGTTGGCCTCGGTCTTCACCTCGATGCTGCCCATTTTCACCATAGCCGCCTTGAATTGCTTCAACCACTCCTGCCGGTCCTTGGCGTGGCCGTCCACCAATCTCGATGTCGTCTCAGATGACATGAGCGCGGCGTCTGACTTGAACAGCACGTTGCGTTTCTGCACGTTGTCATAGTATTGGTTGTCGAGGTCATCGGGAGTCTCGAGGTCCTGAACCACGGTGGGGTCGCCGCCGCGGCTGCACTGCCCCTGCAGGGATGCGGCCAAGGTAGGGTCCATCGACGAGGGGTTCGGGGGGAGGCGGTCACGGAAGGACGAGCAGTGGGAGATCCCGACCGTGTGCGCGCCGGAGAGGGTGACCATGTCCTCGAGGCTGAGCCCCTTGACCCTGAACATGTCCTCCAGGACGCTGACGTTGGCGAAGGGAGGGGGCAGGTTGGGGAGGGTCTCGCCGGCGAGGGACACGTTCCCGTCGTAGCGGCCGGCCGGCATGTCGAAGCCGGACTTCCAGCCACCCCATAGGAAGTCGAGGAAGCTGAACTTCTTTTTCCCGCTTATTAGCAAGACGGTGGCGTCGCGCCCGGCGAAGGCCACGATGTCGGCGCACGAGACGACCCCCTCGCACTCCTTCTCAAACTTGGTGTTGTGCGGCTCTATTTATAGCTAGCTTGATTGATGCAAGCTGAGGAGAACAAGCTCATGGGATGAACATTATGCCTGCCTGCATGCATGGGATTGTGCCTGTGCGTGATCTTTTGAACATGCATGCTAGGCTGTGGTGTTTAAGTCAAGAGGGAACATGCATGGCGAACATAGTGACAGCTCGCACGGTTGACATTCCATGCCCATTTCCTCCGCTATTGTGGGTGTCGGGTGGCATCAACCGGCTCCGATAGGTTTTGATAGTGTATCGTGTGCCGCATGTAAGGGATGGATGCACTTCTTTTATTGGTGACGGAGGGCAATGTCCAGCTTCTCTTGCGTGGATCAGCAAAATTGTTGTTGCCGTCGTTGGGTTATTTTTTTCCCCGAATATAGTTGCCAATTATTTCTCAAGTATCAACTAATTTATTCAAAAATTGATGAAAATAAGAATTTCTTGCATGTGACAAGTTGATCAATAATTGATCCTTGCACCAAAAATTGTAGCCAAGACGTCGTTTCGTGGGATTTGTCATCTCAAATCGATGGGTGCCTGAAAAAAAAACAGACACAAGGAGCACCAGGCTTTAAATAAATAAAGCCGACAACGGCAAGGGTAACATCAACATAAGTACGTTACAGACCAAAGAAACCTCCTGCAAGTGAGAATTTTTTCGAAAGTAACACGCCTCTCTGCTGCCTTCCCGTGTCTGTGACATAAAACAAACAACTACATTTTAGGGCCCTCGAAATCGGAGTCCTCGTTGGTAGCAGGGATTTGCGCATGCAAAGGAAAGCCAAAGATTTGATCCAAAATTTGAGAACAAGCTCCTTCGAGAAATCCCCAAATCCCAAGCACTAACCCTAACTCTAACTCTAAGAACTTACCTTCATGGTGCCGTCGTTGGAAGCTGAGCTGACGTACTCAACAGTGTTGTGCTGTCGCTATCACTCCAGGACATCATGGCGCGGCATGGCGGCGACGAGCACAAATAAAGCGAGAGAGAGAGAGAGCACACAGAGCGAGAGAGCGCAAGTGAGACAGAGTGGAGAAGAGGTGGAGAGAGGAGTAACGATTCGGTCTTTTGGCCAGGTCGACCGAACGACAACGGTCGGGATGGCTGGCTACGCCCACAGACAAAAAACAGGACCCATTTATCATAAACTCACTTAATAAAGTCAGGTCCACCTATCGATGGTTTTTGCAAAAAAGTTACACAAGGTGTGTGAAGCATAGTGTTGTGTTTTTCGCTAGGGACTGGCTACTGATCAATCGACTGGAAATGAATTTTGGGTAAGTGGATTGACCCCAAACTCTGTTTCAATCAATTACGCAGAGTCCGCACAATATCATGCAGCGTCTGAACAAGCCTACAACTGGACCATGGGCTGCTCCAGTCCAGTATACTACCAAGCCAGCCTAATTACGGGCTGCTATAGTATCGGCCAAGCGTTTGCAGATGACCAATGAATAACACTCTCACACTTTCTTTTTGCGAAAACACTCTCACACATATTTGCATGCAATGATTATTGGCTATATTTATTTATTTATTTATTTATTTATTTATTTTCATACATGTGCAATCTCACCGATGAATAACACTCTCACACATATTTATATTTATACATACATATATATTGAAGATGTATTATTACTATGCGAAACACAGCATAATATAGTGAGATTTTCACAAAAAAAGTGTTTTCTAAAAAGTAATGGATTAGTGATATCGGTATTACCTTACAAAAGAAAAGAAAACGAAAATGAAAAATGAAATAAAAACTAGAAAAATGAAGTTTTCAATGGAAGAATGCTTTCATGGCATTGGTATTACCCTTTCAGAAAAAACCCTAAAACAAAATCAAATGATGAAATTTTCTAGAAAAGATTGGAACACTTTAAGAAGAAAGAAAATGAAAAAGAAAAAAACTTCCAAACTTGCACACAAATTGCACTGAAAATGCACTTTTTGAAATATGCAAAGAATAAGCATATAATAGTGCATTTTTCGCATTGTACTATAATTCACACATAATGTAACTGAAATATTGTATTTCCTTTAAGAAGAAAGAATTTTAAAAAAAATTGCGCACAACTTTGCACCGAAATTGCACTTATCATAGTATGCAAAAATAATCATATAATCATGAAATTTTGGCTCGTATTATATAGTATTTGTATGTATATAATTACACTCAGCCAAAAACCCACAAAAAACAAAAAATAACCAATAAAGGAAAGGAAAAAGAAAAACGCACAGAAACAGAAAACAGAAATAGAAAAATGAAACGAAAATACCCACAAAAGAAAGAATAAAATTTCCTAAGGAAGAACGAATTAGTGGCATTGGTATTATCATCTAAGAACAAAGAAAAAGGGAAAAAGAATCGAAAACAAACACCGATAAAATTTGCATGAAATATACATAAAAATGCGTTTTTAGAAAATAAGCTAGAATAATGATATAATCATGAAATTTTGGCACATATATATAGTATTTGTATGTATATAATTACACTCAGCCAAAAACCCACAAAAAATAACCAATAAAGGAAAGAAAAAAGAAGAAGAAAAACACATAGAAACATAAAACAAAAAAATACCCACAAAATAAAGAATTAAATTTGTAAGGAAGAATGAATTAGTGGCATTGGTATTACCATTTAACAACAAAGAAAATGGGAAAAAAATAAAACAAACACTCATAAAATTTGCACACAATATACATAAAAATTGCGCTTTTTAAAAATATGCAAGAATAAGCATATAAAAGTGGAACTTCTGAAAAAAAAAATCTAAGAACAAATGAGTAGTGGCATTGGTATTAACATTAAAGTAGAATGAAAATGAAGTAAAGACTAAAACAATATCAAAATAATGATTTTTTTAAAGAATGAATTAGTAGCTTTGATATTTCCTTTGAGAAGAAAGAAAATTCAAAAAAAACTTGCGCACAACTTTGCACCGAAATTGCACTTTATCGTGCTATGCAAAAATAATCAAATAATTATGAACTATTGGCACATATTATATTGTATTTGTATGTATATAATTGCACTCAGCCAAAACACACACAAAACAAAAAAATAGCCAATAAAGAAAAGAAAAAAAGAAAATAGAAACACAAACTAGAAGAGCAAAAACGAGCCCAAGAAGCAATTTGACTGACCCAAAATAGGGGTCAATCGATACCACACAGCCCAACTCACCACCAAAAGGACACAGGAAAAAAAACAGCACACATCTCAAAGCAGAATCAGACGGCCACAAAATCGACTGACCCAAAAGGAATTTTCAGGTGACTGACATATAGCTAAAGTGTTTCTGCTAGCCTAACTTTCAAAGTGGTGGTTTTCTGCAATTTACTCCAGCGGCGGCGAAATCTGAGCAGAAACCGAAATTTGAACGTTGCTCAGAAACTCAACTAACACCAACATGTGCAAAACAATGCCCCCCCTTAAGTAAGAATGACAGAAAACATGGTAATCATAGTATTTTCTATTAATGAATCTGTTTATCAACTATCTACAATTCTGATCAAATGCATGAGAGGAAAAAAGAAATACATTCGTGAAACATATTTTCCTGTAAATTAAAAAGAAGCCTACCCTATTTTTTTAGCAAACAATTGTGTTACCGTGTGAAGAAAAGAAAAGAAAACTTACAGCTACAACCGAGTTTCATTTACAATCTTGAGGCCCCAGCTGACGTCCTCGCAGTGCCTCACGTACGGCACCACCTTGCCCAGGTCGGCGTCCCTCTTGGCCTTGCAGTCGAAGTAGGGGGCCTGGTGGAAGCACGGCTCGATGGACATGGCACGGCCGCACGGCGGCTCCGGCACGACGTGGTTCTCGGGCCTGTACATGATCCACGGCGTGAGGCCGGCGAGGCCCTGCGCGACGTAGCCGAAGGTGGAGAAGCCGCTGGTGATGAGCACATCGCTCATGCTCAGCAGGTAGATCTCCGCCAGCGCCTTCATGTTGTGCTTCCTGTTCTTCTTCTTCTGGTACTCCTCGTGGCTCGGCTGGTAAACTTTCACCGTGGTGCCGTCGACGGTGTGGTGCTCGCTGTACCTTTCCCTGATCTGATCACTGTACCAAGAGCTCAAAGAGGTCGCGAGAACGGCGATTGTCCGGTTATTCCGAGCGGCAGCTTCATCGGTCACACCGATTTCTGGCAGCAGCTTTTCACCTTGAGCACAAGAAAGGATCTGTTCTAAAACGTGTGGAAATGGCCCATTTCTTTGCAAGATGCCCTTCTTTTCAAATATTCTGATCTGAATCCCCACTACTTTATCAGCTTTAGCAAGGTAGGCCCTGTAGTACGTTGTCGCCGAATACCAGATATCATTTGTTGGATGAAGAAGATACCGGCCCAAGTGATGGAAAACGGTGTCCTTCTCAGGAAACAGCTTGCTCAGTTCATCTTGGAAACTTGGGATAAGAAACAGTGACGGCACAAAGTACATGTCGGTCCGCATGATCAGCCACGGCACACCTTGCAGGAACTGTTGATCGTCTTCGCAATAGAAAAGCTTGTCGTGGAAAGCGTAGTCACCATCAAGATGGAGGTACACATAGGGAGGCCTAGCACTGGCTAGAGACCGATATGTGTTGCCACGGATAACATTTTCCTGCAACATGTTACCATAGCTCTCTGGACTATGCTTGGTGAACTCATTATAGCTCAGAGGGAAATCTGAAGGAATCAACCATGAAGTTCCAGGAAAAGGCTCACAGAAAGTGTTGGCAATCTGCTTATAACGGTCCACGAGCAAAACCCTGCCTGTCAAAAGTGCGTAAAGAAACGCTGAAGTGATCTCAAGCATCCGGTTACCCATCCCGGC